TTTCGAAGAAAGTATTTCGCAATCATTGTCCGTAATTTTGCGCAACAAAAAGGCAGACGCTCCGCGGAAACGGAACACGTATGAAACGAAAGAAGAAACTGCGCTTCGCGTATATACTTATATGTATACCTTCAGCTCACTGTCTAATCCCGTATAAAAGCGCGTCCGTGCGGCGCCGCCGCGCCGTGTTAAAACTACATGGCGTTTGCCAGCAGCTATTTTGCAGAGCTTTACGCGAGTTTGTAACGGCACAATCTAGCGAATGAGCGACTAGACGGAAAAATGATACAAAGCGTAACTTCTGTGATATTCGTCCGACGTTTACATTAAAATTAACGACTCTACCCCTTTTATATAATATAGCAATAATTCTCGCGTATAATATAAAATTTCGCATGATATAAACTTTTCTTACTCATTCCGTCTGTATATACATTGGTATAACGTTACGAAGCAAAGGTATACTTCAAAGTAGAGTTAGGTTTTGCAAACTACGTTCTTTACAACGTTAAAAAGTAATCGAATCCGAAAGTTGTTAACTTTTCCTCACTCTCGTCGTTCTGATCCTATTTGCCCGCGTTCTACTTTCTTGATAATATTATCTATTTGACGATAAATCTGCAGCCGTGATGTCCTAGCTAGAATGAGGTGTTCGGATAATCCGGCAGCGCTGCGCTGTGTATGTAAGTACAGATACGGGTGTGATACGTGATACCGTTTCGCGCACAGCTTCGTGCTGTGCTGTTCTATGTAGATTAATGTCGACGCCTGTCGCAAGAGAGCTCGCAAGCTACTTTTACGTTGTCGCTTCACCACGCTGCGGTATAATGGGTACGACGTGTATCCCGTATTTTATCGAAATTGGCGCTACTTAGTCACAAATAAATTCGTATAAATATTTAATTTGGAGAAATAAGATAAATTAAGAGTCTAACCGCGCAGTTATTTTTTTTTTCATGAACTATGATATTTTTATCTCTGTTTTTATGATCGCTTTTAAATTTTCAATGTTCTTCTGATACAGATAAAAACTGCATCGATATTAAATATTTTGTCACTAGATCTATTTTTTAATTCTCGCTATATCATGTAGACTCTGTTCGGTTTATAACATTTTTACGAAATATATATTAATTTATCTTTCGAAGATAGTTTAATTTGATGATGAAAGCTACCTAAATCTAATAAAAATTTATTATTGTTATTACTGGAACAGTTATCTTTTCATACAGTTTTGTTTTAATTGCACATGAGAAAAGCGGCCTTAAATTAAAAATGAAGTTATAGTTAGAGAAAAATAATTTTACGTATTTATCTTCTTTTAACTTTTCTCTTATTTCCTCCTTCTACTGAGTAACTGGATCACTTGTAGAACAATTAGCTGCACGCGAAGGAGTTAAGAAATGTTTATTAAGGTTATTTGTCAATTTTAAACAGTCGATTTGAGTTTATTGAGATTATCCATGTTACAATTAACAAAAGAATCTATGTATAAATAGCGCGTGCTTAACTAAATAATTTTTATAAATGTACAAATGATTTAAAAAATTTGCCATTCTTTCCCAGCAAGAATTTAATTAAACGCCGCTTGTTTCTTTGTTTTATTATTAAATATTGATAAAACCTTAAATTAAATTTCTTATTAAAATAAAATTAATTTCTTCATAGTACCTTTCTTAAGAAGACTAGTAGATATTTATCTTTAAAACAATAATTCTCTGTAATATTTTGTCGAAGGAATATACATAGCAATCTGCGCGCGAAATGATTTTTATATCTCGGTATCTGTAATAGCGTTATGTATGAACTGAAACAGTTAAATACGCGGTGATATTATGTTTCGTGATGGAATTCAAGACATGTTCGTTCTCGTAAGAAAGCAGCCTGACTACATAAATTTCGCGAGGCACTTTAAGTTCGACAAATTGAGGTCACAATCAGTTATGCGTCAAGAGCAACTTTTTCCAAGTTCTTTCGTGTTTCCGTTCGTGTTTCAATTGGTTTTGCAATCAAAACGACAAAAGAATTCTTTATAAACGACCGCACAAAAGAGCTCATGTAAAATTTTCCGTGATCAAAAATTAATGACAAAGCTCCTTTTTTAAGAAAGAATACCATAACTTTTATTAACATGCACATAATAATAATGATAATATAAATGCTAAAGAAAAGTGTGTATATAGAATTAACAAATAAATTTACCTAGCAGAAATTTTGAGAAATTTTGGGAATGACTTTATCTTTTTAAGTAGATGACAAAATTAATTTTCAAGGCAGCTTTTGGGGGAAACTTTAAGAAGATACGATCCCGCAACAATGAGCAAGACGAAAGTTTCTGAACGCTGCTTACACGTTACTATGTACTAGGGTACAATGTCGCGATTGTACACTTGAAAACTCCTCCATCCCACTCGTTTAACTCGCCGCGATGTCACGAGGCATGGCGCACGACAGCGAAGAAGACAGATCAGCAGCCGGAATTTCGTGTACACAGTACACACAGTGATTCTATTCACGTCCGTCGCTATGATGGCTTACGTATATGTAACGCGGAAAATCGCTACGTACGCTGAATAAACCGCTCCAGCGGAGGATTGTCCCATTCTTCATAAACTTTCAAAGATAATGCGGGTATAACAACACTTAAATGGGGAACGTGCTTCGCACAGAGGCTTGCGGTTGGCAGAAGGAAGATCTCCCCTGTTAAGATGAATTTGGAGAATCTTCTCATATCTAAAATTTAAGTACGGGGCCCTATTACGGAATTACTTAATAACGCAATTAAGCCATAATTTTGTGCTGGATAATTAGAAACCGGCTCCTTCCAGCTCTAATGTAGCTCCTGGCATTTAGAGAAGAAGAAGAAGAAGAAGCAGCAGCTTGAATAATATCTGATTTTTTTTCTTTCGCGTTACTCAACATTTTTACTTTTAATTTAATAGCGGCGCATATTCATTATAAATGAAATCCTTTTTTATCTTTTATCGCTGATATATTTGTTATAATTTAATACAAAAGTGTGCAAAACCCGATTGAACAAAAACTCATTAATTATAAATAAAATTCATCTATTCCTTTTATTCATTTATTTTTAATGTAAAAATTTATTTGCCGCTTATGCAACGTAACGCAACACTCCTTCCAAATTAATATCTAGATATTAATAAATCTCTACGAAAAATTCAAAATTGATATTTATTAATTTATTTTACATTATAGAATATACGTATTTATATGTATTTTATGTACATGAAATTTTGACGTTTCTCACGCGTTTCTCGGAATCTCTCTCTAATTCGCAAGGATTCCGTATAAATTTAATATGAGATAAGTTAGCGCGAGTAAACCACGACACCGCAGTGATGATGAAGCATTAACCTGATTAAATAACATCGTATGGCAATGAAGCTATTTAGCCATTAAATCCTGTAATGCATTCATGAGATTAATCTATACGTTAAATCAAGAATTATCAAATAACTTCATTTATCCAAAGTACATGAGGTATCATGCCAATGGCAACCCGAGCAGCTCAACTTGTCGATATTAACTCTTCGGAAAGTTAGGAGTCATCCGGTATAACTCGGGCTATCGGTGTCTAATTTGACATGGGTTTAACCCAGATCGCTATTCTGTGGTTACCTAGCTTCCGCTAAAATGAAGTATTTGGTGCATAGTGGAGTGTACACATTTCCACACTCGATTCCGTGTGTTACAGCCGATTTGATGAAGTAGAAAATCATTTAAAATTAGATAGAAGGAAGACTTGAGTTTTAAGGAAATCGAATCACAGATAGAACCCGAGAATTTAAGGCACAAAGTCGCCATCGCTGAAACGACTATGTCGAGCGTTTCATTTGATTTGGATTTTTTATTTCCAATTATAAGCGTCACACGAAATGGGAACATTATTAATATCTAGACTATCTATCTAGACATTATTAATATATCTAGTATAGTATATTATTTTTTTTCTTTGTACCCTTTTTTTTCTTTGGTTCCCTTTGTACTTTGGATGTTTTGCTGTACAGCACGAAGAGGGAAAATAAAGAAGGAAACGTGAATTATTGTGTGATCTACCGATGTCTTACGTCTGGCACAAGTGGCCGCGAAATGTAAATAAGATCTCTATTTTCGAGAGGTGTTTCGAAGGGAAACACATCGTTACTCGCCAATCTCGTAAAAGGGCCATCCGTAACGAGAGTTGTCTGTCTATCGTTCGGACCGTATCGCGCAAAATTGAAATATTGGCGAGAACGATCACGTGTAACCGTTAGTTTGAAATAAACATTGCCTGATTTATGGAATGTGAGTTCTACGATACGTTACGATTTGCGCATACCATTTTCACCCTTCCGAGCGCAGCACGGACATCGTAAATATGTTTCCACGTAACATAACGAAATGCCAGAGATATAACCACGTTGTGTTGGCGGTATTACTTTTGCGAGAAACATCACATTAAATTCGCCCGGTAATAAGGCGATAAAAAAAAGATAGAGATATGCCACGAGACGTGAAAGTGAACAGATTTTCGTATGCGTCTTCTGCTTGAATGATGAAATGTGTTACTCCTGTATTGCCTTTTTCAATAATGCAGGCTACTCGCGATCATATTTTTGACGTATGACCGTAATGTACACTGGAGAGGTTGCATAACAAACAGAGGTCGTACGGCTAAAAATATCGCATTCAATTTATGGCATAAGAAGTTACGCGAAAAGTTTTAAAATAGTTTCCGTAAATCACTCGGTACCTCTCTATGAAATATCCGGAAAATCTTTATGTACTTCGTGCAAAAACGTCGAAAGGAGTCATATTACTCGACATTTGCTGTTACATCGTATTTTTCGAGAGTTTGAAATTTGACAAATTTTGATATCTCTCTCTCTCTCTCTCTCTCTCTCTCTCTCTCTCCTCTCGTATCCAGTTAAGATAAAAATTTAATCTTACTCCAAGAATGTTAATCCAGCAATGTTGCATAATGTAATGTAACGCACCTGTGACGTTAAGAATAATGTGCTGCACGTTGTTGCACTCGCGGTTGACCGCCATATACGTAGCCTCGCACTTGTACAGACCCTCATCCTCCAGCTGAACCTCAGGTATCTTCATATACGTTTTCGATGAATTCGACGAATATTCTATGTCCGCCCTGAAACATTCAGAACGTAAAACATTCATACGATTGATATGAAAATTGATTCCAAAAATGTGATTTAATTTAAGGTAATATTCTGCGTCCGCCCTAAAACATACGTTGATTGATTTGAAAATTATAACAATTTAATTAAAGAGGAAATAATTTTCGAAATTAATTCTGGCCGTTTGAAATTTTGATATGTTTAATATAATGCATCAAAATGACCTGTTGGCACTGAAATTGGGCGGACAACAATGGCGGGAACGCTTTGTTTAATAAATTTTTATTAAGCATTTCACAATGACAATTACCATTTCCTGTAGAATGTAATAAATCTCGCCCGCCACATCGTGCCAATTTTATATTCGTTATAATTGATGCCATTCACGATTATAATGCGCAGCCTTCATTAATTGTAAATACATTGATTGTTTATGCACTTTATTAATGACGAATCTGCACGCGGTATTATGCCATTATGCAGCTCACGCCAATGCAAGTATAACGACCTCACGTAATGTCAATCTCAAATTGCGATTAACACCGGGTAATGAATCGGACAATCAATGAAATTAATCTGCTCGTTATCCCGCCTGAGTAGCATAATCCATTTACGACGATAAGGTGGCGATATCGTCATATGTGCTGTTCGATCGTGTGCGCTTGTTCGGGCCGATTCTATTTACGATTTACATTACAATTTACACGTTACACATCCGATGTAGCCGATATATGCATACGCATATTCCAGAAATGTTAACGGGTCTCCCAAACGATCTTTTGATACGATCGTATATGCGCATTATTAATTTACAACGGGGATAAATCGCATGAACCGAACGTGTTCTTTTTTTTTTTTAATGCGTAGCGGCGCGGTGCCGCAAAAATCCCGAATGCACGTAATTAAATTTGATCGTGATGCAAGTGCGTCCTCGACGGACCGTTAATGGCACGATGGTAAACTGTGAGGCAACAAGACGTCAGCCGAAGATCTCCTGCCATTTATATCCGTAAATGGCAAGTAGAGGCGCACAGTCGATGTATATAGGTCGCGCTCGATATTCTGTCAATAGATGCTGAATATATTCATCGACACATAAGTACACCAGTCGGTACACATCTCCGTTGAACATGCCATAATTCGATACAATTTACATTCCCATCAAATTGATTACTTGTTATGTAAAGATGGACGAGCAGAAAAGTGCTCAAAAATGAAAATGACAACAAAAAGAAAAACGAAATAACAAATTAAAAAATCGCGTCTCTTATCCTCTATTTCTCTGCGAAATTGTAATGCTAAAATATACGACTTTGTAATTTATTTAAGAACGGTGAACGCAATAATATTTTTTTACACGCGTTTTGATAAAGAAAAAAACATCAATATTCAATACACACACCGTCTGTATGCCGTACGTACACGCGTAAAGTCGCACGGGTGTTCCGAAATCCGCTTTTATTAACCAGATTAAACATTGGCACGAACAATTTTCAACCGAAATGTCCGTGTTGCTTTTATTCGCCGTTTCCCCCGATTAAACGTATAGCGTGTGACAAATCATTGTTTTTGCAGGCCGCAAATTCTGCGTTGGTATGAAACGCAGGTGATCGCGGTCAACCGACATTTCGGCGTGTTGTTTGATCGACGAACCGTTTACGGCGTCATTAGCGCATTGTTGATACGACGATGTGCCGTACCGCTAATCAGCGGCATCGATGTTCTGCACGAAACTATGTGTCTTTTGCATTCGCGTAATAATTAGATCAACAATGTTATAAACTACGATGTGCACGTGTCCACTAGAGATACGACATACTTTTTGTGCTAGTGAAAATATTTTCAAGTCTAATTTGCAGTTATCGTTTTTTTTTATATTTCAATTAATATGTCAAAATGTAAAATAGATTTGCTACGATAAGTTTTGCGCGAACATATTTAACCTTTAAACCACTATATCGGTCTCACAGACTGCTATTGAAACGTTATTTGTCAACAATTTTCTTATTTGTCACCATTTAAATATATTTTATTTCTATTGTATACGAAATATTTTTGTTAACCCTTAACGTTAAAACATATAATTTATCTTTTCTCCATCAACAAGTATTCAAAAAACATACATTTTTTTAATAATTAACTTAAAAAATTAGCGGGAGTATAATAGAGTCTGTTAGACCGATATTGTGATCAGTGCGATTTTTTGAATATGGTGGTTTAAAGGTTAAGCGAGATTGTTCCGATCAATCTCTACGCGAGTGAATCGTTTTCAAAAGTTGTTTCGCCTTATAAACATTATTTGAGCAATTTTTAATTTTCGCCGTCAGCACGGCACTCGACGGAAATTTGTCGTGCTGATAATTTTCGAATGGCGATAGTTGTATTGTATTCAGAATTTTAAGGATTTTATAAATCCGACATTCTTTTAAATAATTATAGTCAATACATTGTCAAAGAAACACGTTTGTTTGTAACCAAAGTAATAAAACAGCGCGCACATACGCGGTGTAATGCAACATACATAACATTGCTTTATATTTCCGAGTTCTAAATCCGGATTCCAACCTAATCCGGATAATAGCACGTCGCATTGTAAGATCCTAGAAATAGGAGACACATTTTGCATTAGCATTATAACATAATGTCCCTTTACTCGTCTTATTTATATAATGCGCGGTTTACATTAGCAACATATGTCGTATTCCTATATTGAAAAATGTATTGTATTCCTCAACGGTATGCCAATGTTTTTACACATGCGTTTTATCTTTTAAACGCATGTAAAAACAAACGTATGTAAAATATCGAATTAATGAAAGGCATGTTCCACGTTTTTCACTAAATGTATTTCGTGTTGCGATGAAAGAAAATTTTTGCCCGCAATATTTGCAGTATAACCTGGACATGTTTCCCACCAACGTAATGCGAATGGATTGCATGTAATTCACGAACGTATATAATTCATATACTATAATTACCGAATATTGCTTTGCTATGCGCGCGAATAACGTGTAAAAGTACATTGCTCCACCAAATTGCCTTTAATCCATGTGACGGAAAATAATAGGGAAACAAATTTCATAAAAAAAAGTGAATGTTCCACTCTCTATAAGCGGATAAAACTATTATTAAAAAGTATAACATCCGCTTTGTACTCTTTAACAGTAATAATCATCGAGCTTCTGCTCTGTCGACGCCAATGGTAGTTATCGGCAAAAAACTTATATAGAGAATTACGTTTGATTTTATATAATAACGAAATAAACGTGGAAAATTAGTCATATAATATTAATCTCTTTGATGCATATGCAAAGCCTACAGTTTACTTAATCGTAGAGGATGACACTTTAATTAAGTATATCATTCAATTACGGAAATGCATGTCGCCGTGATTCAAGCGCTGTGATAACTACGATTATAATATTTCACTAAAACCTTAAGATATCCAAAGAATATATTGAAACAAGAATTCAGGGCTTATAAAAATGCCTCGTCTTAATAGAAGATTTTTGCCGCGAAATGTAGAAAAATTTATAATAGAGAAATAAGACTTTTATATAAAATTACAAAACACATACATTAAATTCTAAGTACATTGAATTTTGTTTATCGAAATTAGAATATAATGCTATAGAATATTATAGAATAAAAGATCGATTTAAGATGTTGTTCTAATAAAAAATGTATGTATATTGCTAAAGAGAAATAAGCACAAATCTGCAAATAAAAATATCTTTAAATAAAATATTTTATGCTTTTACGTACACTCTGTATATAAAAGAAAAATTACGTTGAAAATTTATATTGAAGCATCTTGAAAATGGATTTCCAAGAACTGCTTTTTATACATGCGAATATATGTATCGATCGTGCTTACTTTTTATTATTATGTCGTAAGTGATTTTGTTATTTTTCGACAAATGCAACGAGAGAGTATGTTAGAGAGAGTATCAAACAAATAAAATGTACAATACTGATCAAACATTTTTTTTCGTTGAAAAATTCTTTTTTTTTTCCATTTTAAGCACAAAGCTGACCTTTATCACAATAGTAATATCTGTCTCTGCTTATTGCAAAAAATGTAACATAACGCATTAACTTACTACTGTTGCTAATGTTTCTAAAAAAAAAAAAACTAAAATCACGTGTATAAAATTCGTTTTATATCGTTGTCATGTCAGATTAAATACGCGAAGCGAAGAAGTAAAGCTATAAGCGGCTACTGAAGCGTGCTAATGGAATTAAATAGAAATCACTTTATCAACGGCTAATCCATAACAAGCCTCTTCCTTTGTGATACCGTGTTAATTCGCGTAGTTTGTTCGATATGTATATATATAGAAATCGTTTTGACCACGTAAACGAATATCCTATAATTTCCACATTCTTTTTTCAGCTTTAAATTTTACGAATAAATTGGCAATGATATTTTCTCACGTCACGAAATAAAATCTTGGAAGTTATAATTAAATTTGTATTCAATTAAGTAGAGAAATATACAATTGTATTTAATTTTTAATAAAAATGTTAATCAACCTGAAAAATTGAAAAGAGATAAATGTGTATGAGAATCATTATTCACTATTCAATAACGCTTATCGCTTTTTGTTGTTAATCATTTCAGGATATTGCTGAGTTTATTTTAATTAATGTAAATTGGCACGTAGAGAAACACGGTTATCGGATGAAATCTCTAAGGAACACTTCAGATTTGAGTTCGTACGCCTAGTTGCAACGTGCAATCAGGCAATAACACTCCGAGCAAATAGCTATACCAGAGAGGCAAATCACAATCGAAAGACGTAGCTAATTGACTTAACGGAGGTAATGAGTTTGTCTCGTTTACAGCTAGATGTACAACTTTTTTATGATCAAATAATTAATTAAATTATTTTCGTCATTGATATAAAAAATGTTATTAATTACACTGTAACATTGCATAGCATTTCTCTTTAATATTACATAGCATAAACAGAATAATACATATAAAAAATTTAATATTTAACGATATTTATTTTACGTTCACTAATTTATCAATCAATTTAATTCGTTTACTAGCTTATTTATTATTTACTTGTTACTGTGTATCTGCAGCCACATAATTAAAAAGAGTATCGGAACGCGTTAACGGTTTTGCAGGCAAATAACGATACGTAAACTGTAAACTGTATCGAATCAACTGCTAGAGTTAACAGCAAACCGGATGTTATTAAAACAATCAGAGATTTTGATAATTGCTAATCGGAAGTTTCATGCTCTAAATATTCACGTGTGCATATTCACGTGCGCATTTAACGCGTTTGACGATTTCGAAGCTACACGAGCCCTAAATATAGACCGCGAACCACAAAACGCAATTACGGGGTGATGACCCTGGGATGAGCATAATCGCGATAGTTACAAATCATCGGAAACGGCAAAATTATTATCAAAACCGAAAATGGTTCAAGAAAACGTGTTATTTGCAGCTCAGGTGTGTAGTATGCTATAATATTTTTAAAGCATCGGTCGAGCCAAAGGTAGACATTTCACGAATTTTAATGAAGATAGTAACACGAAAAATTTGAAAAGTTTGTAAAATAGAAATAGAGGTTTATAAAATTATATCTTAAGCGGATATTACATTGAAAATACAATTGTACGAATTTTGAAATGTTTAAAAAAATAGAAACAATGGAGATTTTTTAAATGCAGAAATTATTCGTTCAATATAATACAAAAAAACAACTTTTTACTTGTTTGTAAAAATATAAAAATACTGGAGATTTTTTAAATGCAGAAATTATTTGTTCAATATGATGAAATTAAATAAAACAGATTTTACAGATTTTACAGATATTTTTGATATTGCAAAATTATTATCGCGAGTTTTAGTAAGTTTTATATTATATTATGGGTTCAATTAGCGCCACAAAATATATATTGAGGAATAATGAAATTTAGCTTAGTTTCTAAAAATAGAAAAAGAATGCAAGGGAGGCGGCCTAATTAAGTCAAGGCACGAGTTGAACCCACTAGCATTATGCATTCAAGTCTCAATATAATACTTTAATTACCTGGCAGCAATGTCGTTATTGCCGCGTATAATCCCGGCGTCCTCGCTGAAAATGAAAATCCTCGTGGGTCCGTGGTACCACTTGATGCTGTGCAGACCCTCGCACTGCGGTGATTTCAGGACGCAGGGCAGTAAAATCTCCGTCCCGAGCTCGGCGTGCTTCACGCTTCTCAACCACGGCTCGCCGCTGCCTGTGAAACAAACATACATTAGTGGTGATTCGTGTGAAATTGAGTTCGTAATTGAGATTCTAAATATCGATTGCGCCCGACAAAACGTAATCAGCGAGCGAAATTGTTTTATTGCGCGATTTCCGGTATACATATGCCGATTGTGCTAGAGAGAGAGAGAGAGCTCTCCCCATACCCTGTACACTGTAAATATGAGGATTTTACCTTCAATGAGAAATAACTATGAATTATTATAGAAACATTTTGCATTATTCGTTACATATTCGCGATTTACGCGCGTTTTACATCCGAGAGAAACATCACGCTATTGTTTAAAGTCCTGTCGAACGAGAGAGATTATACGTTCATTGAAATGATGATAATCGATCTCGTAGAGTGAAAAAAGTTGGCACGGTGATTCGCTTTGGAAAAGGGTTGGTTTCCGAGGCCGTATTGCGCGGCATAATAAATATTACGTTCGAGCGAGGAATAATGGAGATCGGCGCGCGCCGTAGGGAATTGCGTTACGATTTCTTTCCGTCCTCTCGCACACGTACGTGTGAGAAGTTTGTTTCAAGCTTGAACATTACGGGATGTGGCTCTTCATTCGCTTCGAAGTGTTTCCTCGAAGAGAAAAATCCATCTCGCCGCGATTCGCACTTTGTGCAGAGGTCATAAAGAATGGGTTGCTTTTCTTTTTCGCGAAATTCATTCCCCGCGACGTTCCGCCCGGGACTTTTGCAAGCGGTCGCGATTAACATTGTCGAGATACTGAATTGAGTTTTTAAAAGCGTTGCAAAGGAGAGGAAAGAGTCTCTACATTAGTGATATTACACGCTCTTCGTAATCACGGGGCTCTTTTACTAATCTTTTGTGAAAAAGTAATCATGGCGAGATGAAAGAAAAATAAGCTCCATTCTTTATTCTTACAACAACAGTTGATTGCACGAGCAAACGATCGCTTATCGTAATCGTAAGATGCGATAATGTTTCGTGCCTTGAAAGAGAACAGAGCGATTTGCGATGAGGCTTCGCTCGTTCGGTACAAGTGATTGCGCGATGACTTTGTATACGCAGGGGCATGATGCATAAGCAAATTTAATTGTAATATAATCACCGAGGATCCTTTTCTTTGCTTTTCAAGGCAGTTTTGATAAATTAGACGTCAAATATTTCGCTCCTTGCTTCGCGAAAGATCGATTTTGCGATATTACTCCGCGCTTTTAATCCGGAAATTAGTTGGCGCATTACACTTCAATCGGGAAATGCAAAACGCAATAGGAAGTACATCTGAATTCGAGTATTGTGAAGGAAATAAGCGTCGCCCACAAATGTCGCGCAGTGAAAGAAAAATTTATTGCTGCGTTCCCCATCGCTTCGATTTCCGTCTTGTGTGAGTAAATCGCGGGAAAGATTGTTCCAACAAATAATTATTGCCTTGCCACGAATCGCGGGGGTTAGTTGATCTGTTACTATTTTCTGTATAGGTTTTCAAGTTTTTAAGAGAAGAATTCCCGATAGAAATAAAACATTAAAAAAACCTTTAAAAAGCGAGTTATCGAGTTACCGTGCTAACATTTACACAATGCGTTTTGTAGTAGTATTAATTATTTCTGATTTTATCCTTTAATAAAATTAATTGCACGAGCCTATAAGGCGGAAAAATCTAAGTGACGAGTAAAAAGAGAAATATATTTATAATAGCTTTTCGTGACCAATTACTCGTGAGATTGAGAGATGTGGCGCATGAACATTCGAATGTAGAAGGATTACGATTTATGAGTTTTGCACGAATATCTACAAACAGTGATTTATCCATCGAATATGGATGTCCATCACCGCCCGATTGAATTTCTATACGGCCTTAGCATAGTTTAAGTGATTTCGGTTTTATGTATTCAGGTGTCAGGCGATTCATCGAAAAATCGATTCGGAAATTCGCGCTCAGATTAATCCTACGTGTCTGCACGGCGCGTTTATATTTTGTCATTATCTCGCCGCGGCAATTCCCGCAGAAACTTTTTGCATCAGCATCCGCGCGGTGACTGTGCAAATTTATGAATATTACACAAAGAGATTGATTATGTGTGCGTGAAGTTGTCGTCGTGATATTACGAAATATTATGGGCTGGGAGAAAGACGGAGGCAAAGAGTGAGAATCAGAGTAAGAAAAGAAGAAAAAGAATTAAGTAAGAGTTAAATACGTAGCGTAGCTCTATAAGTGACAGTTTAAATAAAAATTTGATGAAGTAGTAGTAGTAGTCTATATAAAAGAATGGCATCTACTCTGTTAATAATTAATATTTTTTACGACAATATTTTACCGCACCGCAAATTGAGTGTTCAAGCGCACACATATAAATCATTTTTCTCGATTAAACGATAACTATAAATATTGAAAGAGTTAATTTGCCAACAAATATTTTACTTTTTTACATTTTGAAACATTTTTTTAAATTTCTATAGAAATATTTCAAGCATTCGTGACGCATTGTGAAAAGATAACTTGAAGTATTACGGGTGTAAACGCTGTTTGCGTTTGTAAGCATCCGTTGCATTTAACGGCGCTAATTAGTAGCGTTCGCAGTTAAATTTTGCTACGTATGCATAAAGTTTTTACGAGCGCGGAAACGGGCTGTAACAATGATAATTATTGCACTTGGTGGGACTTATAGCTTCCGTTGGGTTTTCGTCGGTCAAAACTTCTTGCACGAAGTAGGAGACCTCGCAAGTACGACAGTACAAAATACTATGTGTGCACTTGGTCGTCTTCCGAGCTTGTATTAACGATTCGACAACTGTATAATTGCTAATGTAGCGTTGACAATAAGTTTCGATCTCTCAATTCTATAAGTAAACATTTTCTCAAAGGTAATGGCAGTCAAGTAAAATAAAGTAAAAATTTTGCAGATATTATTTTTTTGCCCTGCAACTGTATTAAAGTTTTAAAAATTATGGAAAATGATAAAAATGGCCTGGTTATATATTGATACGTCAGATTAGATGACCGAAAGGTTTCTCTTCCTTATTAATTAATTAATTTTGTCATATTCTGCAACGAGCGAATAAAAACTGAAAAGTTTGTTCCCAGCTTTTTCTATTTTTCTATGGAAAACGTCATGTTTTTAATAATCGAGTGCAGAGAAATTTCAATGAGATTCATTTTCGATGTCATCTCCATGTATTCTAGAGTTACCATTTATCTTCCCTTCTATACATTGAGAGAGATAAATAGTAATTATAATCATACTGTGTACAGCATCGATTATCGCAACGTCTTAACGCTTCAGCAATCACGATTAACGGCGTTAATGCCATGCCTCATGACTGACGCCACCATCCATTCAAAACCGCTCGATTGGAATTGGTATTGTATCTCGACATTTAGTTATCGTATATGCGAGTAGAATTATATATGTCAACGGTACTAAAGCTTGCGACTACCATAATTTTTTCTATAAAGAGATAAATAGAGGTACGCGCGTTTGTTACGAGGCTTTGCTCAGATATGTTATGGCTGGGAAGCGTGATCGGCGAGTTTACAGTTAAAGGTCCATGAAATTAGTAGTACTTCGAGATGTCGACGTGACTCCAGAGACATTAAAATGTAAAGTAAGCACTATGCTTTGAACGAGCGCCGCCGTTGCGGAAGAGCACGTGCAGATAACGACGTTCTATCGCGGAGGGTAGAAAAAGTTATCGACCTCGGATGCTCCGACGCGTGCTTAACCCATTTCGAAATTATACAAATTGCAACCGGCATTAGCATGGAGCCGGGACTCTGAGAGACAGAGTAGGCCGCGACGGGCGGACGGGAATTAACCGAGGCGGAGATTTAAGCGTCGTGAGGAACGAACGATGCGCGTGTAAATATCGGAAATGGGAAATTTATGACGCGTAAAAATGTATATGCGCCGTTGCAGTCGCGTATAAGCGCAACGAAATTCGGTCAAATCGCTGCCGTCCGTCCGATTAGAGTATGCCTTCTAATAACATACCGAATTCTAGATAAACATTCCATCAAATGAGAAAAAAGGACATTTGTTGCATTTGATGACAAATCGCAAGTGCTGCTTTCATATATGATCTTACATCTTAGATATCATTTTTCCCGTGAATTGCTTCACTCCCGCATCCCGCATTGCACGTCAGTTTCTAGGATCCTTTACAGTTCACGTTACTGCGAAATGCGCGAAACGCGGTGTACTAACAGAGATATCAAATAACAATATAAAGGCAGAGAATGATGATTGCATAACGATATGTAATACTAAATTATCGTGTTGAGCATATAAAAAATTTCCGTATAATTTTCAATATTAATGTTAATAACAGTTTAAAACGTTTTGGAAAATTATGAGAAAATCCATAACTAAATTATCTCTAACTTTATAGCTTTATATTAAATTAACGATATTTCATATCTCTAACTTTATAGTTTTATTTAAATTAACGATATTTCATATCGGTGAATAGTTTTAGCAAGAATTTATTAAATTTCACGAGAAAAAATTATTTACATAGAGTATTTCCGAATTTTTTTGTCACTGCCGGACGATTGTGATTAATCATACTTTTCTAAAACTGTAGTTTTAAACCAGTTTTATATATATGTCATCACTTTCATAAACGTAGTCGTTTTCATTTAGCCAAGAGAATTTATCTTGCGGAAACGATAATGATGGAAAAAAATGCTTGCAATGGCCAAAATTCGTACGTTAATCTAATTTGTTGCGGAAGTCCTGTATAAACACACGTAAGCGTACAATAGCACTTGACGTACGAACTGCTATTGTAACAGTTCTGAGGATTACTGAGGATTAACATTCAGGAAGCCTTCCGGGATTCTATGAGTTAGAAGGGTAACACGAAAGTTCTGATTTGAAATGTGATGGAGGTGAATCTTTCTCTTGTGATATGCGCTTGAGCGAGAAATTCAATTGCCGACACGGCTACCATCACGACGGAAGTCTCTCTCTTGCGCGAATCTATATTTCCTAAATACGAGAGATAATACCTCA